ATAGCGAATTATATATATATATATATATATATATATATATATATATATACTAAGTGTGTGTGATTGTGGCAAAGGACCTACATTCAGTGAATAACTTTTATACTAACGAATAACAGGTGTTTACACACCTCTCGAGAAAAACAGAAAATATTGCACTACCATATTGTTCAAACTCGTATGTGAGCGCACATTGACATGATGTATAGTATAAAACAAAAGCATGGTGGATTGGTTCCGAATAATATCATCATTATCATCGTAATGTGTGAGAACGATTACCACACAGGAGCGATTGAACGATCTTGTTTGAGGTTTATACGGTCACATCCAATCTAATGGTTGTGACCCAAAACTCGTGCGTATCTCACCACTGGTCGTCATCATATCCGATCGATTGATCCATTGATCCACCGATAAGAACTGGCCGTGTACGGTTCTTGTTACCGTGATAACGACCTGTTTTGTTGACAAAGCATCTGACAAGTTAGTTTTCTGTTGAAAACCCGCCCGAACAAACGCCGAACGGTCCAGAAATAAGCATTCGAACTGATTTACAACTGAAAAGCAGCGGTCCACTGATCCACCTATTGCTTCGTATTTGAAAAATCGATTATGTTTGAATTGATACAACAAAAGAGATAACCCGAAGGGGATCTAAATCTAATCGTATAGTCCAAATCTCTGGAACAGCTTTCGTTAATGAAATTACGAAAACATCCTTATTATTCATTACAGAATCCTTATTAGGATGCCCGAATGTTAGATAAGACTGTATTTTGAGGTTCTGTGTAATGCAGTGAACCTCGGGGCAAACGCAATACAATTACTGTTAGCATTTTGGAATGAGAAAAAGTAAAAACTGACGCGGACATATGGATCATGTTATTTCCCGGACATCACTATCAACAGAGTGGGGGAAACTTTATAAACACAAAGTACACCGGTCGCCATTTTCATCATTGATTGGATACAAGCCTACAGCGGTCGCAACAAAATGAGGTACACAACTCCGTGATCGGTGCTTCGCTATTTCGGTTGTATACTGCAGCGGACAACTTTGGAACAAAGAATACAGACCTGGTGAAACTGTTCGTGCTCAATCTGCACATTCACTGCCAACTTTCATCTGGATGAATTTGGGTTATAGATCACGACGTTAGCCTGCCAAGTTCAAAACGTGCCCCAATCACACCAGTCAGGCCAGAGACGGAGGTGGTCAAGCAGCTGGAATCATCTGTTCACAGTGCACTCCCAGCCCGAAGGCTCAAACCCGACCATTGCGACTCAATTTTGGTGGGTATTTTTTATTGCACAAAGTGAATGACAGTAAACGGGGAGATCCCCATGAGCAAATAGCATACTGTAAAGGGGGGAGTAAAGGAAATATTCACGTAAGATCCAATTTATTGATTCTACTTTTAAAAAGTGTGAGATTGTAAGTTGGGGGGAAAATAGCAAGTGGGAGAGTGTTCCACAGTTTGGCAGTTCGGGGAAGAAAAGAAGATTGGAGTAGAGGTACGACATCTGGGAACAGAAACCTGATAAGGATGACGAAATGCCTGAGTACGAGATGGACGGGAAAAAGTTACAGGAAGAGGAACTGCCAAGGCAAGTTCCGAAGAACAAAAACCAAAGTAGTAACGGTATAATAGGGACAACGAAGCAACTGCCCGACGATGGGCTAGCGACAGTAGACTGGATGTTAGGGAAGGATCGTAGATTAGCCGGATGGCCTTTCGTTGGACACGATCAAGAAGGGAAAGGGAAGAAGATGAAGCTCCACCCCATACGTGACTACAGTATTCAAGAGCAGGGCGGATTTGAGCTTTGTACAATCGAAGATGAGCTGGGGTGAAAAAAAGTCTGGCGCGAAATAGAAATCCAACCTTGCGCGCAGCACGAGAAGCGAGCTTGGTTATAAAAGGAGACTAGCATAAAGAAGAAGTTATAGGCAGTCCAAGAAGAAAAACATAGTCTGTGGAACGCAGTTGGATGGAACCAAATGATAACTGGGGAGGGGGGGGAACGAATGGTGTTTTAAAGAAATTGAAAGAAGAGATGTTTTGGAACTATTGAACGAAACGTGGTTTGCAATGCCCCACGAGGAGAAGTGTTCGAGATCGGAGTCCAGTGACGCAGTAACTGCACTACGGTCACCATCGATGTTGTTTTGGGCATGGCGAGCAGTGCGGTAGGAGAGAGAGCAGTGGAGGGTGGCGTCATCAGCAAAAGAATGGATCGGGTTGGTAGTTTGAGAAAGGAGACCATTGATAAATAGAAGGAAGAGGGTGGGCGCAAGTACTGAACTTTGGGGAACACCAGCGTTCACAAGGAATGGCTGGGATAGGACCCCATCAACTCGGACGGAGATGGTTCGTTCATTGAGGAAACTTAATATCCATGCTACGAGCGCTGGAGGGAATCCGAACATGGATAGTTTCCCCAGTAGACCTTCGTGCCAAACTCGGTCACAGGCCTTTGAGATGTCGAGCGAGACCAGGTGTTTCTCCGTGGTTATCGAG